TTTTCATTTGCTGTCTCATCCTACATTGTCATTGGCTTACATTTCATTGAAGTTCGAAAATTGAGTATTCGATCATGAACAGTCTCAATAACGCCAGTCTTTAACATTTTTAATTTGCCGTTTTGGGCGTGCTTCAGGGATCACTTTTACTCTTTTTGATATGCTGCATTTTTATTCTCTCGTGTGTAAACAGATTCTGTCTTGCACCTAAACTATCATCTTCAATTAATAACCATGAAGGACCAAACAAATATAATACTACTGCAATGAATTGTGGGGCAACTTTTTACAATATAATTGTCATACAACAGTTGTGAGAAAAAAGGAAGATCCCTGGTATTCACTCAGTATGTAATAAAATTAATAGTGCTTAATGTAAAGACAGAGTAGAAAGATCAAATGAAAAGAAATTGACAACAATGTGATTGAAACGGAAAAGGGCTGTACATTCTTGTTTGCACAAGTGAAAAAAGACCATATCGAATAAAGAAAATACATTGCCATTCAAAATATGTAAGAAGTCAAAAGTTATAAATGATTTTACTTTGTCATGCTGACGAAGAAGATTTGCAAAAAAACCCTAACGCCTTTCTTACATTTTTATTTACATTCTACGATCTTTGAGCCAAGCACAGTTACCCCCTGTATCGCCGCTTCTGATGAAAGTATCTGTACTTCAATAAATGAGCACAAGTGATTAAAACATAAAAATAAACATCGTATTGATCTATACAAATATTTAAAGTATGACATGACATTACACCTCACTTCAAACTGTATGAACAACGCGACACCATCTACACCAATAGCACAGCGGTATTGACACTTCTTCCAGGTCTAATACCTCCAATAAATATGCATTTTCACATGTTATAAAAAGATTAATTCAAATCTTTAACATTTCAGATTAAACGGTATAAAATAGTTTATGAGAAGGAAAAAGAATTATATACTGAACTTTGAATGATGTTTAGTTTTTTTATATTTCTTCCAACTCTTGGAGATAGCACTGATGACGTTGCAATTTTCACCCTTGCTTAAGCCGATGCATGCAGTCATGGAAGTTAGCTTTTACATAGAACGACTGTTCATGAACAGGCTCAATGAATACTGAATACTGATTTTTTGTTCTGTTATTTAACACACATAAATTTTGAATGTAAACAGAATAAACTGTTCTGGAAGATAATAGTATTCTGAACGTTAAAGTAGGGTTTTGTCCGCTTTGCAATGGTTTCCTGTATGCGCCCCTTGTTTTTAAGTTAATTACTACAATATTAATTTCATTCAAGCATTTTTAAAGTATTCTTTTTACTAAATTCAAACAATAACTTTGCTGCATACAAAAAACTTTTATACACTTTCATAACTATCTTCGTCTTTCTACGTTGGTCCCTTGTAGGTGTGTTCCTTGTTGCTCTGCCTTTGAGGCATTGAGTACCTTTGTTATGGTAATACGGTTTTTTATATATATTTATATTACATTTTATATGTATGGTTATAAAATTACCCTTTGAGTGCCTCGCCCCTCTGCTGTTTTCTTTGGTTTCCTGCTTGGCTCGTTACTGAAGGCTTTGTGTTGATGGGTTTTGATTGGGGCTGCGTTCATTGAATGTCGCAATTTCTTGTTAATCTTTTTTCTCCATAAAATTATTTTGTTTATATAAACTTATTTAACCCAGACAAACTAGGCGGGATATCACTTTATGTACTCTGTATTGTGGTGAACCATTCACCGGTTTAGATTTCTTAGTACTGTAATGCTTTTGACCGTTCATTGGCGGTACATTCGGTCGGTGTCCTCCGGTGTTCATTCTTTATATATTGTTTAAATTTATGTGCTTTGTAATGGCGTTTCAATTAATTTTTGCCTTTTCAGTTAATGGCATGGCTGCGAAACGCGAATGTTGCTTTCCTTTTAAAGGTTGCAATATTATTCGATATTTTAACGTAATTAAACTTTGCTATACTTTCAGTTGAGTTTTTTCCCCAACAAATCAAAGTGCAGATGTCATTAAGTTTTAGTCATATTTTTTATATCTTTTGAAAATATACCACTTTCAAAAAATGACATATATAAATTAAGGCAAACTATTAAAAAATAAATGAATGAAAATGTAAATAATTATTGATATAAATTGAAAGAAGATAAGATAGCAATTTTATATGCACATTTACCGAAAAGCGTGTATAGTGATTTTATAGAACAAAATGATATCTGCGCACAAAATCTTTCAAAATTTTATAGCGGCGTCAGTTTTGACAGCATTCATGACGTCACAAAACCGTTTTTATTTTCTGACACGCAGTAAATATCTCTTCATATCTGAATACAAATGAAACAAGTGAAAGAGTTCATAACTTTATGAATACATTATCAAAAAATGTTTTGCTAATCAAAATTCTTTGTTGGCTGTGAAGCACTTTTGCGAAATGAAAATGATTTAGTGACTCTCTTTCTGTGTATAGGTAATTGTAACAATGAATCAATGTCATTTTATAAATAGGGAGTATATCATTGGTGTGCTTGGCTTATCAGCTCTGTGTTAAGTTGTTATGTCACGAGTCCGGGGTATAACTTCACACAATAAATGAGAGTGATACAATCTACCACAATAGCACATCTATGTAATTTTGTCATTATCATATCTATAACTGCAGTAGCTCTCTAAAATGAATATCAATATTTAATATTTGAAAAAATAAAATAAAAGGAACTGTTTTACTTAAAAAAAGGTTATGAATATTACGTCAATGTACCTTCATGACGCCAAGACTCGATACTATGAAAGATATTAGGACAATCCATATACCTTTTTGTGAGTATTCAGTTATATATAAATAACTGTATTTTCATCAGAAAACGTAAAAAGAAAAATATGTTAAAAGCAATATCTACAGTAATACAAAAAAACAAGTTATCCAAATAGATTTTTTAAGAAGAATGTGTTTATTATAAGTATACCAAAATATCCGTCGGAAATAGCTTTTAATCAATACGCGATCATGTTTTTTAACACATGTCATATTTACGGCATCAGCATGAAAAAAAAATCTTTTCATTTCATAAAAAATACAACTAGAATAGTATGCAAGAAGGCTAAATGAACAGTTTTTCATGCAATTAATGATATTTTACAAACCAACCAACAAGTGATTGGAAAATCACGTGATTAAATCAGGGAAGTGTTTTAAAATGTCATCTGTTTTAACAGATATTGAGTTTTGGCCCAATGTTACGCTAAAACGTGCATCTGAAAGCAGTAACTATGCATTAAAAATAATAAAAACTGGTCCTTCGGTTATAAAACCTTTTCCTGAGATCAAGATCAATCTATCTCGGGATTTTCATTGGTCGATTCACATTTTGTGCCTGTTTCTGACCAATCAAATACCCGAGATCTGAGTTTGAGATTAAAATATTTCTTTATAACCTTGACCATTTATTTACCAGAAAAAAGGTTGTACCACTTGTTTACCGGGTATTCACTTATTTCCTACTGTCACAATCATTAAGGAGAATACTTTATATATCCGTGTGGTGTTCAGTGAATGAATTACTGGTTCACCTCTTATCAGCATGATAGTTTACAATTATTTTTTAACACAGATGATACTTCAATATGATACCCGCTGGATAAATCAGTATGTAACTGTTGTAACAGATCTAACTGCAAGTTCGATGAACTTAAACTTAGACAGTTGCTTGTTTAGAATTATGATATGGAAACATCTTCAGAGCAACAACCTTTGAAATACAAAGCTGTTGGTTGTTCCTCTCTAGTTATAAATTTGTAAATATTGTTTGTTTAAAGACAGAAATTATACAGTAACCCAGTGTCTTTATATTGAATTTGACTTCATTGGGTTTCAATAAAAATGTAAAAAAAGAAAGAAAAAAGTAAATAAATGTGAGAAAATTCGTGATAATATTGATACTATATTTGTATATATCTCAATATTTACAAGTGAGTCTTATAAAAATCTAAACCAGCCTTCATTCAAGACAAAATAAACAGTTTTGATTTGTAAAATAAAAAAAAAATGAAAAAACACTGAAGAATACAAACTATATTTTATTGACACCGGGTGGACGGCAAGGCGGCAATCGGAACTTACATTAAGTTCAAACATTTAATATGTAAAATAATTCATTCCCGATACATTTTGGCGAATAGTTTGATAATGGGAAAGAAGAGCTGTCTAAAAACTGATTAAACTATTCATGATTTGAATAAGAAACGTAAAGACCCGGTAATTGTTATGATACCTAAATGCACCATAAATCTTATTTTATGTTGTAAAGATTAAAATTGCTACAAAAATGGGTGTGTGCATTCGTGTTTTATAAAGAAATTAAAGTACACTGTAGTTTAGCTGTACACAATGAGTCAATTTATTTTAGTCAGATTTGTTTGTTACCCCTGAAATATCAGACCTTGACTGATATGTACCGATTGACGAAGGAACAATGTTTTCATATTTTGGCTTTAGGCTATGTTCAGGTGTGCTTCAGTCGGTGCTGGTGTGGGCCGTAGACGAACCTTACGTTTGTTCGTTTGTTTGATTGGGTTTTACGTCACACCGACACAATATAGGTCATTTGGCGACATTCCAGCTTTACTGGTGGAGGAAGACCTCAGGTGCCCTTCCGTGCATTATTTCACGCACAAACGGGCACTTTAGAATAACCACCGACGTTCCGTCAGCTAGCTGGATAGCTTCCTCACATAAAAGAATCCAAAGTTCCTGTCGGGATTCGAACCCACAGCGGTGAGGGGCAAGTGGTTTGAAGTCAACGACCTTAACCACTCGGCCACGGACGCCCCTACCTTTCGTTTACTAATAGCGTCTCTGAACAGGCTCAATCAAACGAAGCGTGTAATATCTTCAATTTTGCTGTCATTTTGGGCGTTATTTAATGTATACATTTTACCTATGTTATTTGGATTTAAAGGATCTTTTGACATGAATTAAAAATAAAAGTTTAAAAACATGAAGCAGTTTGGAAGGTTTATTGCTACTAGATATATTTACAACAAACAAATTAAAATTACACAACAGACACAACAGTGAAATATCACAAAATTAAACATGAAATCTTAATAAAGAAATATAAAATATTTATTACATCTGTAATAGTTATATCTACATGTATTTCAGATATTGTACAGATTGCAAACTCTGAACAATAACAAAAAAAGTGACTTTCGGCTTTGTTTTTCAGTTCGTGTAATAAGTTATAAGATTATAATTTACACATCTAGAATCACCAATCAGTTACAGTTGATGATTGACGCTGTATGGCATATTTTCCAGTAAAACTTTCACACGCATTCTTTTTCTTGGGGATCATACGCCGCTTTTCATGGAATGACACTTCAATGTCACATTGAAGGTTCCATGATAACCGCCGTATGAACATATCTGCGGATGTTTCTAAATTCAAAATTTCACCATTTAAGTGTTCAAATGTTGAATTCTGCTTAAGCCGGTGCTAGAGGGGGTAAACGGTAACTTGCACTTTCCAGTACCGTCCATGAACAGGCTCAATCAAACCGAGCCTGCAACATTTTACAATTTTGCCGTGTTTGGCTGTCTTTAGGGATTTTGTTTTTCACTATTTCAGTAATATATAAAACACTCAAGTTAGAAATAGACATCTACCATATTATATACTATTCAAAGTCAAACATGGCATTCTTTATTGCTATAAGTCACCTTAATTCAAAAACAAAGGGAACATATTTCAGCTTCTGATTGCATATATGTCACTGGAGTCAGAAATAGCTGCAAAAAGCCGAAAAAAATAGCAACAATGTTATCTATTAAAATACATTGCTTTAAAAATTAGTAAGAAACAATAAATTTATATGCAAATATACACACATATATACAATTTTTATACGTTAAGAGAGAAATATTTTTGGATGAACAATTACTTTTCACTCACGACTGAAAGGAAAAGTAACGCCATTCTTCTTAATTTAATGTCTTCTGCTCACATACAAGGTAGAGGGACGTCACTGTGTTGTGTATGTTGGGTTTTCATATATTATATGCACGAAATTCACGTGTAAATTTTACAGTAATACAGACCGGCGATTTTGAATGAGTTTCATGTTTCTGACTAGACGACTTCTAAAATATATTAATTGTTGAAATGAAGATTATATTTTGTATGCAATAAGTAAAAAACCATCTTTAAAAAAGGGCTCTTCAATATGGTAATTATATGCACAATTGAACATGAAAGTTATTTTGGTTTCAACATATACACTTCTTCAACGAACGATTTAATTCCCCAAGATTCTTGCCATTTGGTAAAAGCATCATGAATGTCAATTTTCTGAATCCCGCAATATTGATCTGAAAAAGATAATTCATTGTTCCATTATGTGTGTCGGGACTTGATTCAGAAACACGAAATACTCGAACGAGATAATTTAACCCCTATTCCAGGTTTGTCCTTAGCGACAGCAGTGCTACAGGCACTATTCCGTCTATATAGACCAGGCGTAGCAGATCCATTAGGTATTTATTACCCGAGAATACGCCCACATTTTAATTATATACACACGAGACTGTATATAAAGAATTAATTTCAGCTAAAATTAGTGACTTAAACGCTGAAACTGCTCGTAAGTTGTAACACGATTACTGGAGTAGCAAGAAATCTCGTTTTTTAACACTACATAATACACCGTCAGCATTCAGTACTTGTCAAACTTGACAGGTTTAATTAAATGGATTTCAATAAATCACGTTTCCATCGCTGTGAGAAATCTTCTCATTTTAAATAAATCACAGCTTCAAACATTACATTGCATGTTTAAATTACAATGCACTTTGCATAGTATTTTTGTCATTGCTTAAAAATATTTAAAAAAATTATTATGTAACTTTCTAGCTACACAAATAATTCAAGAACCCCTATGCCAAGAGTGGAGTTGAGCCACCGATCTAAATTAGCTGGAGAGCTGCCTCACATGGAATAATCTAAAGTTCTACTCGGGATCGAACCATAGCTGCTAGGCGCAAATATAAAGAAATATGGACGGAAAGAATTGAATTAAAACAACTACAAAAAAACCAACAAAACAACAACAAAAAACAACAACTTACCGAAGCATTTTGAAACGTCTTTTGTCGTGCAGTTGAAGGGTGGACCTAAAAACAGAAGACAATTGTGATAGCTCCAAATTTATATCTATCAATTTTATTCATTGTACCAATGTCTTTTACAGTATATCATAAATATGCAATATTTTAAACACTAATTCACAAATTGCTACCCATGCTCCAATGCAAGCAATAATGACAATATTTTAATCACCTCAGGCAAAGGCTTTGCTAGACTCATAACTCATGTACATATATTTTACATAACTGCCCGTTTGTATTACCATACATGTATTTGTACCATAAATAGTTTCGAAACTTAAAAAAATGGCATCGTTCCCGTTTCAACTACAAGTCACAAACAGTCAAAGATAAAACGTGATTCGGTGATTTCAGTTATTTGATTGAAGATTCAATCAAAACCGGCATATAAACACATATGCTGATATTTAGAAATTGTACATTAAACACTATTTTCTTATTTAAATATATGGCGATAATTAATCCGGTAGGTGCTAGGTGGCATGACCGATAGCTTGTATTTTTATACTACTGCCGTCTATGAACATGCTCAGTTACAAATTCTGTTGAGTCATGATGGGTGATCTTTATTTATATAATTTTGAAATTTTATTTGTAAAACACAACCTCATGAAGTCAAGCGTTTAATGTCAATATCAATAAATATCAAAATAGCAATTTAATTTTCGCAAAATATATTTTATAAAAGAACTATTTTTCCTCCTTTAAAAATATCTGTCTCTTATTATAATATATTTTGCAAAAATTGAATTTCTATTTTCATCCAGAGAATTCCTATTTTATTATATAAATTTAGGCCAAAGCTTATTTCAGATAATGGACAAACATACCTATCTACAAGGATATGCGACGATAAAAGAATAAACTCATCTTCATGTACAAGTACATTTATTTAAGGATGTAAACCCGGACACATTCATTCAATACATGTGTGCTTTTATACAAATAACAACTACCCACAGGGCACCGCCGCAATGGAAATAGATAATTATTTGAAAAAGGGAAACGAAAGTACGCACAGGTAAATTAAATGAATTAAACGCAATATGATAGTATGGTTCACTATACAAAAAATATCCTCAATACAAACTACAAAAGACACGATACGGACAGTTAGATTAGGCAGTGGGGCACCGCATAAGGAACATACACTGTGCATTACTGAAGATTTAAAAGGTAATCATTCATCTCCCGGAACCTAAGTTCCTAAAGCGGGACATAAATGAGATTTAAGATATCAATTGCCTGAATATGAAATAAGTTTTGATAAAGAAAAAAAAATGTAAAGAAAGTGATATTTTGACTTTCATAATTGTAAAAGTCTTAATTGCCAAAATGTAATAGACACAAAAGATAACTAAGGTATGTGACCAATGAGTAAAGTAACGTTTTTGAAACTGTAAAAGGATACCAAAACTAAAAAAAAACTGTTTTTAAAAACCATCATGTTAGGCTTAATGGGATTTTAATTGACATGATACACGTTACCTGCAAAAGCCTCGTTGTCTACCAGAAAGCAATCCAACATATAACGACAGTCTGGTTTCATCAGGCTCTTCATCACATTAGCGTACCTGTAGTAAAAACAAACTTTCAAATTTCATCTGAAGTGGTGAAAGAAAGATACTATAACACAAGATCATAATGAATAATTTGTCGATTCTAAGTCATTAGTAATAAAGCGATTTTCCTGCTTTACTAATAATTCCGGTGCTACTTCTCAGGCATAAAAGGGCATCTGAAAGAAATCATGTTCCATTCGAAAAAAAACCCAGATACTACACATGAAAAAATCAAACGCAAATGCCGAGGTTCAAAGCAATAGCGGTTATACAATTATTTGTTTTGTATTTGTTTTGTATTTTTCTCTATTCATTGTATTTTAATTCAATCAATATTACTTTACAAAATATGATAAACAAGATCAACAAGGAAAGGCGGCGTTCAATGAACGCAACCCCCACATGACCCAGCAACAAGAACCAATGGCAAGGAGCCCAGGGGGACCAAAGTAACATTACATCATGAAGCGTTCAGTATATTTAGAATATGATAAACAAGATCAACAAGGAAAGGCGGCGTTCAATGAACGCAACCCCCATATGACCCAAATATAAAAACCAGTGGCAAGGAGCCCAGGCGGACCCCAATCAAAAACAGGACAGGGCAAAGACAGAGCACGGACAGGTTAATCATTAAATGATATATAATTTGTAACTGATTAGGAATTCAAAGAAAAGAATAATAGGCCCACAAAGGGGAAGGGGACAGGAGACCGGGGAAGGGGGGGGGGGGTAAATCAAAGAAATAAAAACTAGAGGGCAATGGGGAAGATACTTACCGTAGACGAGAAAACAACAAGGGAAGATACTTACCGTAGAAGAGAAAACAACAAGGGACCCATCTTTAATATGGCTATCTTTATTATATTGAAATATATTATTTATGGCACCTTACAGATTTTCTATTGTCATGTTTTCCATTCCCTTTTATACAAAACAAATACATTTTTCATACCATAAGTTATTGTTACGTTAAATGAACCCATTATAAGGTGAACGTACCGTTTTCTGTCTTTGACTGGTAGTGCAACAAATCCACCGCGGTCCCAAATACAGTCGAACTTTCCACATAGTTTGCTGAAATTACATTTGAAACTAATTATAAATCTACAGCGTGATATTTAAAACGTTAAAAAATCAAATCTTGTTGCAGTGTTGCACGCGGTGCATAATTATCAGATATCATGACACGAAATAAATTTTTAAAAAATCAGAATTAATAAATCATATATGATATCTTTTGCCTTTTTTTAAAGATTGCATCGTCTGAATAAAAAATGATTAGTTTTAGTGAAAACTGATTTGAAAGATTTCATTTATGTATGGCTGACACATTATAAATGTTGTTAAACTACAGGAAAATGAAGACCATGCATTAGTTTTGTGAATAAAAATAACTTTTTAAGATATCATTCATCAACGAATATTCCATTTAATACATGTAAGACTGCTTCTGACGGTATTTGATAAGAAATAATAAAACTAGAACTTGGGGAATCTTACAAATTTTTTCTTAAATTATAACATGTAAGAAGTAAAAAATATATCTACAGAGTCCGTATCAACGTTATATTTAAAGAAATATTTTATTGTAAGGTTCCGTCATTTCTCCTCATTCGTTGAAGTTTTGTTTGTTTGATTGGGGTTTACGTCACACCGACACAGTAAAGGTCATTTGGCGACGTTCCATGTTTTACTGGTGGAGGAAGACCTCAGGTGCCCTTCCGTGCATTATTTCAGGCACGAACGGGCACCTGAGTAGAACCACCGATGTTCCGTAAGCTAGCCAGATAGCTTCCTCACATGAAAGAATCCAAAGTCCCTGTCGGTGAGGGGCAACTTCCGCAAGTGGTTTGAAGTCAACGACCTTAACCACTCGACCACGGACGCCCCATTCGTTGACGTAATTAAGTTAAGGATTTAGTGTAAAAGGAATAATGTTAAGCATTGAGTTTAGTTCTAAAATTTGAAAAATACATGTACATCTTACTACCTAGTCAGGTCAAAGCAATCGCATCTGTAGATTTTTATTGACTTTCCGTCTGTAGCCTGGAAAAAAAATTCAATGCTTGAATTAGTCGGCTTCTAAATAATGCATATATATTACAAAACCACCGTGCTTTATTGATGTAACGCCGGAAATTATATAATGAAATATAAATGGAATATTTATGTAACGGAATTATGCTTCGGTGCAAACAGTCAATATCAATAGCCTGTGAAGTTCTTTAGTATGTCTCAACACCTACTGCAGTAAGATCATTTTCAGCCGAATCATTGAAAAAAAATCAAATGATTTTCAAAATTGGTGACATGCAGCTACAAATTTATGAACCTTTTTTCAAACTTCTCAAGGAAAATAATTTTGCACTAATATAAATTTGTTATAAAATATGAAAGGACGGGAGGCATTTAAAGAACGCATCAACAACACAGGACCACCGGCAAGGTGCCTAGCAGGACATCTTTGGACAGGTTTAAATACGACAGTATAGAAACGCTTGTTTGTAATATAATCTTTATGCGGTGGCTGAACTGTGCTCTGGTAAATTCAACGTGGCTTACTGCCGTGACCCGGAGTGAAAACTACACAACACCACCATAATCTTTATACGGCGGGTTAAGTTCACAATCGTTTGGTTTGGACCATGTCAAGTAGTAGTCCTTACATAGACTCGTACATGTTTGAAACGAAAATATAAAATCAATTAATTAATCTTAAACGGAATAAGTTATATTATTATGCGCTCTGACTGACATTTAACCTATCTCGCTTGCAGCAACTGAATCTACCCATACGATCATTGCAGATCAAGATTAGCCGGTGAAGATGTTCCGCAATGGTCGCTATTCAGTCAGTACTTATTTTGAAATGATCTCTAACAATAATGAATGGTTGTGTTCAAATTCTACGATGGACAAGTCAATTTAAGTAATTTAGTCTGGCAAAGGTTAATATGATGTCATTGTTTATGTCAGTATATCAAAGTTTTTCACTGATTGCCAAAAATATAATATGCTGGTAAAATAAACAAGAATTGACAGGTATATTAAATGAGCCGCGTCACGACAAAACCAACATAATGGGTTTGCGACCAGCATGGACCCAGACCAGCTTGCGCTACCGCGCAGTCTGATCAGGATCTATGCTGTTCGCTATCAGTTTCTCTACTTGCTATAGGGTTTGTAAGCGAACAGCATGGATCCTGATCAGACTGCGCGGATGCGCAGGCTGGTCTGGATCCATGCTGGTCGCAAACCCATTATGTTGGTTTTGTCATGACGCGGCTCAATTAATGTTATAAGCTCACCTTGTATAACACCCCATCCACATCGCCTAGCTTCTCTGTTGTATATGGAATCTTATTTTCTTCAAAGAACTGTTTACATGCTGAGTCTACACACTCGTTTCCGACAACTTCGTGTCCTTCTTCCAGCAACCTGTTTTTAAAAGAACGTTCATGAAAAGAATCAGTTCCTATCTGAAATTCATATAAAGTTATATTTTCAAATTTATTATAAATTAATTATCATAGTTATATGTATGCAAAATTATAAATGGTCATGTCTGTGTTTTTATATAACTCTAGGAATATACTTTGCCTTTGTGACAACGCATTTGTAACAGTGACGAAAAAAAATTCCAAACACTAAATACACCCACCAACCCCCCCCCCCCCAAAAAAAAAAAAAAAAAAAAAAAAAAAAAACAACACAAAACACAACAACAAAGAAAACCATTCAGACTATACTGTATACATATTGTGTTGAGAAGTATTTAATGACGGCATGAAAAAGACAATTCCTGATGACTAATTACTTAGTCTACCCTTAAACATGCCCTTTAAGTGAAAGCTCATGTAAAACTAAATCATAGGACCTTTTTATTGTTTTAAAAAAAATTGTACGTCGTTATTAGTAATTTTCCTGACGTCATTTTGTTCATTGATGTCATACATGACGTCATATGACGTTTAAGCATTCGTTTTTATGGTGCGCAAATCGTTTAATAATACACATGATAACCCTATCTGTTTGATAAGGAAATGGTGTGAAGCGTGTTGGAAAAGTAATAATTAGGTAGCAAAAATTGTGCTTTGCGACGTGTGCACCCTTTTGTGCATCCGCAGTCTTGTTTATTGTGTTCTAATCATACAAGTAAGAAGTAAAACTGAATTGATAATACAGGTATTGATTCTATCTGAGCAAAATAATGGTTGTTTGTTAAGTTCTTGTTACTTAATATCACTATTATGATAATGTGGAAATTTGTAATAAAATTTTTATTACATGATACAACAAAATGCAGGTGTTTGGTTGTCTACTGTAGATTAAAAAAATATAAGTTAGGGTTTTATCATAGGGAGAACTATTCTATTTTATATTATTTATACCATTCAAAATAAAAATCGTGTGTGTGGTGTTTTGCTGTTGAATTTTAAGGGATGTTGTTATTGGCTCGAGGTAGTGACGAATTCGAACAAATGCATCGGCAAAATATTTATTCTAACCCTGTCGAACTGAGTCCGTAAAAAACCCCAACAAAAACAGTTGACTGGTATTAAAATAGTGACAAAGCAGTACGTGCAATATGGAATTCTGTGATCACTTACCATACAACTGTAGCTTTGATATAACAGTTAGATGGGGTGTTTTTAAAATGATGTTAATTTTATGAGAGGTTTCACGTCACTATGTATTCACTTTATTTCAAGTAATTGCAGTTTATTTTCTTCTAATTACTACTCTTATATCACATGTTATCTGGGTATCTATTCTATTAAGATCAGAGTCTATCTCTTCCCTATTCAGATCTTCAGATTAAGCTGTTAGGCCATTAAATTCATGACGCGTTATAAATAAAAAAGAGGCTTTTCCGCCATGTCACAAAGCGCATAAACACAATGTGTTCATAGTCGTTGAAGTAATGATGTGAATTTAATGACACAAATGTTATTCTAAGTGAATAATAAGAGACGATTCTCCCCTGTCATCGTGACGATTAAATTCTTTTTTTCCACAAATATCTCTGACAAAGTGTCTGAAGGTTTACCCGTCTGTGTATTGACTTATATCATTTTGGGCCAAGTACAGTTACCCCCCATAGGGCAGCTTCTGTTAAAAGAGTGCACGTTGATTATGGACTCTGATGGGTGAAAAATGAAGATACGTGATTAAAACATAAAATAGCTCTGTTCAAATATTTAAAGACCGAAATGACTTTCTTAAATCTTTCCGCGTAATGTATGGATAGATTGACACTACCTTGTTTAGAAAATCACGAAAGTGCTAAATTATTTATTAAAGTATTTATTTCTAATACCCTCAATAAATATACTTATTTACACGTTATAAAAAGATTAAATCTAAGCCCATCTCCGTCAGATAAAAGGGAAACAAACGTTCATAGGAAAATAAATCTGCAATGTGAAAGAACTGAATAACTGAATGATATTTGCAGTTTTTCTCCATCGTACGACATGTGATGACGAAATAAAATTGTTCTAGCTCTTAAAAATAACATTTTTTTTTAAAGACACACATTTTGACCGTAGTAAGAGAAGCGACACTTTGGCAAGAAAACCAGAACATATGTTTGGTTAAAACAATCAAACCAGGTTTGTTGTACACTTAAAATATCAAATAACACAATGAAACGTCGATTTACCGTACCACTTCATATCCAATGACTTTCCGCAAAGTGGCACAAACACTGTCTGTCTATTTCTTCCCAATGTTAACTTTTGTATATGTTTCTTCAGCATCCTGAAATTCGAATTATTAAAAGGAAATATTTTGCACTTCACATTAAGCATTGACAATAATTGATGTTTTACTTGGGTTGTAAAATAAAAAAAAGAAAGAACAAGATGGTCGATGGCTTGCAATTACCACTACTGTCCATGAACAGGCCGCCAAAATTTTCAATTTTGTCGTTTTTGGCGTTCTTTAGAAATTCTTTTTTTCACTATTTTGATATAAAGAGAAATTTATTAAGATAACTGTATCGAGTAACTATGAATATTATGTGTACTTAATACAGCACCATTGCCTTTGACAATATCTGCATCAGCGACTTTAACAGCGTTTAAATGCATGTATATATGTTAGTATGAAATGTTCATATAAAACGTTATCAACAAAGGTTGATAGCACATTTATGTGTAAACAAACAATAACTGGACGTAAATGTCGGTGGTTATTTAAGGTTGCTGACCGGCTGTGTTCATGTAGTTAATAATAAACCTGTGATAATCGTGATAAATCACAAACTATGAAAAACAAGATCAACAAAGAAGGGCGGCGTTCAATGAACGCAACCCGCACACGACTTAACACATCTGCGGATGTTTCTAAATTCAAAATTTCACCATTAAAATGTTTAACACGGCAAAATTGACAGGTTCGCCTTGATTGAGCGGAAGGTCTTTCAAAAGCAACAATTTTAATGAAGCTGCAAAGAGGCAATATTTCCAAATATTCCAAAAATAAAATTAAATGTGAATATCATTAACTTGATAATCAAATTAAAGTAGCAAATAAACTTACGGGTGAACTATCGGCATGTGAAACTTGGTTTGATCTAGTGACCACCGATAATCCCAATCATCAACTGTCATGTTACTAACGTCAGTAAAGTCGCCAAACTGATTTAACTTCTGTTTTCCCTCCATAATAACTGAAATCAGAACAAAACATATTGTATGATTCTTGATAAGTTATGAAGTAAATATTTCAAGACAATTTTTTTCACTATTTCTTTTTTTTAACTTTATTGTATTTTGAAAATGGAAACCTCTTGGACATTTCTTTTTGAAAACTAATAAAGTACAAGCGTATTGTGTATTTACTAACTGTGACCACGTGACTGCATATATTACAAAATCAGACAGAATTTATGTCTTAAGTGCAACAAAGCCACACAAAAATTTACAAAAATAATTTCTTACCTTCCCTTTGTTATTATGATAATTTAAACAGAAATTTTAATGCAGTCCAACGTGTTACAAACCTAAGATGACTTTTCATTAAATTTTGAAGAAAGAAATTTAAAAGAAGTTTTAGTTCCACCAACTGCGCACATATTAACAACTGCTTGTCGAATGAGTATATTCTCAACGTTCGTCTACGTGATTATGCATTTCATCTATGATAATATTAAATTATTTTGTTGCATATGATCAAAAACATTTACAGAATTAGCTGAATAAATTAAATATCCTTTAAAGTAAAGCTATGATCCGGGTAAACACTGCACCGTTTGACCGTTACCTGTAGTTGACATGACGGAACTAATACACACACGGTCCTCAGTCTGATTTAATCGCTCCGATATCCCGTTTCTTAAGGGATGTTTTATATATATAGTAGTCTAAGTAGGGAAAATGTTTATAACAAATATGAATTATTACAAAGTGTATCATAAAACTTGTGTCGAGTCATTATGACAAGACGGAAATAGTTTTTTCACGTATGTTTATGAATATGTAGTAACAAAATGCAAAGTGGCCTCTAAAGTAGGAAATGTACTGGTTCGATTTTTAATTTTTAAAGACAAATGATTGAAACGTTTTGATGCATTTGGTATTCCATCATAGTTTGTATTACACCACACTTCCTCATAAGGCTAATTACACCTTTTACGGGTCCGATAAGTATAAATAATTGAGATTAATAATATAGGAAATAGAAAAGGACACAGATAAATCTCAAACAAAAGTTAAATCGAATATGTACATACAATAGTAATCAGAATGCTTTTTTGCAAACTTGTGAGAAATGAACATTTAAATGAAATATAAATTTAGCGCGTCCTTTAAATCTTTTTTTATAAAGAAGAAAATAAAATAATTTCAGTAGTTGTACTTATGAAGTAGATATTGTAGATTAATTATACCAACGCCACATATGAGAGGAATGGTACAATAAACGAAATCTAGCACTTTCACTGACAAGTCCTACATTTTACCCAAGTATTCTTAGTGGCCCAAATAAACTTAATGGTGCATTTTCCCCCAAGTATATTTACTGGTATGACCGGTAAGTGTGTATACGTTTCAATTCAAGTTCGACTAGATTATCTGACTATTTAAAGCTAAATACAACCATTAAGTAAATTCGATCATTTACAACTTATCAGACTGTCCGAAACACAAAATTATATATATATTTCATTGATTTATATGTATTAACCATTGCTAAGATATATTGATTTCTAGCTATTGTTTCAAATGTAAACGTTAATTTTTATAAACAAAATTGCATAGACATATAAATAAAAAAACAACACAAAAAGTATTTAAGTTTGTACACATTTGACACACTCGAGGTTTATTTTTGATTATACATGTACAATTTTGTCGTCTGTATAGTATTAACATTATGTTGTCAATGACACACATTTAGAATGTTTAAATGTATCACAGGTACCTATTATCTTCTTATATCTATACAACGAATGTTTATATCACAATTACCTATTATCTTCTAATATCTATACAACAGACAAATTATGATTTTTTTTCAAAAGTGCTGCGTCATGATGATATAGCAAATACTATTTGATTTCGCTATCCACTCCGCAATGGCCTAACACTTCACTAAATTATGAATGTCATATTTTTGAAATATTGACAAGTGCCAATCGACAAAAATTGTACCCTGTCTTATTTTAACAAATATTAAAATTTGTCTTCTTATTTAAACAAATCTTAACACATTTTGTTTGAGAGACAAAATATTTTATGTGACGCGAATAAAGGGATCGTCTGCTATCCAAACAACAATTCATACATCATTATCGTAACAACTCGGCTTTCTCCGGCAACTCCGTAAGAAAAACCGAAATCGCCCGAGCTGTTCCACTTGTTATCATATATCAAATTTAATTGTGTAACTTTCTGTAAATCTGCACGAGATTAATTTCTATTCTCGATACCAGCTATAACATTAGTTTCCTTACATAAAATGGTATCAAGAGCTGCTTTATATTTCATCACATTTCACGTGACCTGAATCTGTATATAATATTTAAAAAAATATAATTTCCATTCTTGTGAAACCAAAAGTATTGACACCAGTAGAGAATCAGACTTCCCAAATTTATATCCTGATATTCCAAAATATGAAAATGGACTTCCCTAAAAACGAAATCTGGGCAAGTTAGTTTAAGAAATTCAGGGAGGAAGGGTTTTTATTATATACTTATAAAGTAAATAATGAGAAATATTGATGAAATAAAATTGATATCTCCATTTTCCGTGTTTTCACTGCAAATATTTATTTTTCACTGCTGTGAAATATATTTTCAGTATTTTCACTGGTATTTTTCCGGACTACTTTCTTTTTAATTCAGACATTACACAAACTTATAGGGCAAAATCTATTGAAATGTAAGGTCAAAAAAGTATACAATAAACAGAAGTCTATAAATACGGGATTTATTTTCATCTCACGGTATGAAAAGAAATATTTCACGAGTGGCGAAAATAAATCCCGTATTTATAGTTAAAACTTGAATATCCTCTATATACAATGTATCTTAATTTTTAGTCGACAGGTTAGTGATTAAATTATACGATTAGTGTAATATAACTTATAACTTAGGCGCTAAATTTGAATTGCTCGATCTTAACATTTCCCTGACTACAAAATTGTCAACTGTTTTTATTCTTACCATCTTGTTATGTATCCCATTTTGTTTTCTATTATTCTATTATTCTAACGAACTTACAATTATTATTAGACAATCATTTCAAGAAAATCAGTATCATATATAGAATATGTAGAACCACTAAGCAGAATCCCAACAAAATACTCTAGATAACGAAACTGAAAATGTTACAAGCTCGGTTTGACTGGGCCAGTTTATGGACGGTACAGGAAAGAGCAAACTACCGTCCTCGCAGCTTTCAGATTCGGTTGGATTGAGTCGGTTCATAACAGAAAATGAAAGGTGCAATATCATTAATAAACACAAGGTCTTTCATTATCAACATCATTAATTAAAATGTTATATTTTTATAATTTGCAGTACAGTTTGTACAGTTTAAATAGATGTTGATAATAATATATAAAACCTTTAGTTATATGATAATCCTTTAGAAAAATTAGATATTAGATCTACAATGTTTTCAGAAAAATTAAAATGAAAAAGAAGAAAAAAGAGGAAGAAGATAAAAAAGAAGATAAACTAGAAAAAAGAACAAATGTTTTCAAGAACGAAGAAGAAAAAAGAACATAACTTCACAGGAATATATATATAGAAGATAAAAAGAAAGAAGATGGTAAAGAGAAAGAACAATAAGAAGAGGAAAACGAAAGAAGAGGAAAATGGAAACACATTAGCAAAAAATAGCACAGAAGAAAATTAGAAAAATTGGAAGCAAAGAATTAAAGAAAAAAGGAAGCAAAGAACGAACACACAGAGTATGAAGAAGTGACAGAAGAGAAAGAATTATTAAAATAGAAGGAGAAATGAAAAAAAAAGATAAAGAAAATATAGTAGATTGATATAAAGAAAGAAATATGAATGAAGAAGACGTAGAAGTGGAGGAACTCAAGAACTTGAAAAAGGAAGCAGACAAAGAAGAGAAAGGGGAAGAAAAAAGAGAAAAAGAGTTGAGAAAGGAGAAGGTAGAAGAAAATATGATTGAAATAGACGAGGACGATGAATAAAAGAATATGAAGGAAGGGAAGAAAGAAAAGGAGAAGAAGAAAATAAAGAGCAAAAACAAAGAAACAATAAAATAAGCAAAAATGACAAACGGGGAAGAGAACAAGCAGGAAAGTGTCTTTACAAATTTATATTGCAGAATAATTTTCAATGCTGGTGGAATAGAATCCTTATGTTAAACTGTAATGAATTTTTGGCCTGTTGGTTTTCATTTTCGAGTTTTTGAGGTGATCAATTCACTTTCAGCATCCAGTTCCTTCGACCTATTTTGTTTCTACTCATAAGTACATGACATTCTTTTAAGAAATATATATGTCGCTTCTTGTTCCATTTACGCTATGAAATACGGAGATTGACGAAATATGCCGAGTTTTCACGAACTTTCGCTGTATGTGATACAATAGGACTGCACTATGGATATATGCTCTACACCATTCATGATATAACTTTACATTTCCGTATACATCAGGGTGAAATTAGTAGCATGACTTTGCTACATTTTTCTCTCTTTAAGTCACTCTTAGATTGAAATAATTATCGTTCAAGATCGAAGTCCTTAATTTGGTTACAATATATTGACCAATTATCCAACTTATGAGGCCAATTAGTAGTAACTTTTAACGCTATAACAACAACGGGGTCATATAATGTAATGCTCAGTTATTTTCCCAACCATTTTAGCAAATTTAGCAATGACATTGCACATTTAAAAATATCAAGGGGAAAACTATTTTTATATAATTACTATTGAGAAAACAGTTTTTTTTTATGAATTTGTACCCTAACATTAAATAATAATTATCTGCCGTCGAGACATTATATTGCAACATGTCGATATTCCTGTTTTCTTTTGACAGCCATGAATCGACACATTTTAAAGGACGTTCTAGTTAAGTTAAAAGAAAATACTTTAAGGTGATGCGTCCACCACTTGTACGTAAAAGGTTACAAGAAAACCCTGTTAATTTCCATGTCCATATGGGATTAGCACCAAAACCTCTTCT